GTGCTCTTCCCAGTATCCAGCTGACGGTTCTAATATTTGGCAAAGTATTGCTTAAACATGATGTCTGTCATGTGAGACGACAAACATCCACACTAGGTATCATTGCGGTTGATGAAGGCAGACACAGACTGTGGTCGACATACCTCCTTCTCCTGTAAGTCATGTGAGCTGCTTCTATACCCATTAGATATCCTATGACCCACAGCCAGTTCTTATCCATTGTTTTATCTTCAACCATGCTGGAGAAGCACCCCGGGTGGCTGCAGATGTTCATGAAGTTGGACCCCCATTGTGCTTTTTTTATGCCAAGGAAACTTTGTCTAAGACCCTGCATAGACTGAGGCTGGTGAGCAGTTAGACATGCTAACAACGGAATGGATGGAATGGATATTTTTAAATTCCTACTGAGTCAACAGTTGTTTTTCCCAATTTCTTTGTCACTCCAGTGAAAATCCTGCCATACAGAATGCTGACCACAAGGTGGGGCCCTTAATTTACAAAACTTGATTAAAAATCCGTTGCTGATCTTTTCTGTAATGTTATGTTTAAAGAACGGTATTTATGAGCTTTCACTTTTTGAAGTCCTGACCACTTTGGACTGTCCTAAGTAGCTCTCAAACCTCCCTGAAATTGTGTCTCTACACAAGCGGCTCCTGACTCCTGATTGGTGGGGAAGAAAAAGCCACAACAAAGGCAGAGAACATCCTGACTGCAGCCCCTCACAGGCCACACCCACATACAATCCACACAGGCTGGCACCTCTAGGAGAAATTTGGCAGCTCCAGTTACCCTCAGCATGTTTTTTGACTGTGGGAGGAAACTGGAGAACCTGGAAACCCCATGACAACACGGGGAGAACATGCAAACTCCACGCACATATAGTGGGGATGGAATTAAAAACACGTGAGTTAGCAGGACAATCTACTGGATCATTGCCCTCCCCCCCTTTCGCAGAATAAATGATAAATTAAAAAAAAAACATTGCGACATGCCACACCATGTATGATGAAAATTTTTGATAGCAATTAACGATGGTAATTGTGGATGGTGGTCCTTCAAAGCATACCTTGTAATTACAATTATTATACACACACACACGCAGGTTTGGAATTATATCTTTCTGGGGACTCTCCATTCATTTCTATGGTGAAAACTATAAACCCATACCCAGCCCTAAGTTTAACCATAAGTAACCAAATAAAATACAAGACCTTTGAAATTTTTACTATTTTGATTGCATTCACAGATCTTTGCGGGGATCTGAAAAAAATTATCCCCACAATGTCAAAAAAAAACATTCTTTATGGTCCCCCACAATGAAATATAAACCTAACCCACAGACACACACACACATGCACACAGATATGTATATAAATCATTGAATTCAGGTGTTTCATTCAGAGGCAATGCCACAGGTGCATAAAATCAAGCACCAAGGGATGAAGTCAGATTTACAAACATTTGTGAAGGAGTGGGTTGTTCTGAAGAGCTCAGTGAATTCAAGTGTGGTGCCGTCATAGGATGCCACCTTTGCAATTAGTTAATGTGCAAAATTTCTTCCCTACTAGATATTCCATGGTCAACTGTAAGTGGTATTATTGCAATGTGGAAGCATTTAGGAACAACAGAAGCTCGGTGACAGAGTGGCAGATCACATAAAGAATCATAGTGCGGCATTAATCCCAGCACAAAAACTGTGCGGCGGGAGCTTCATGGAATGGGCTTCCATGGCCGAGCAGCCGCATGCCAGCCGCACATCACCAGCGCATCAAGCACGCTGCCACTGGAGTAGTGGAAACTGGAGTTGATGGACCCAGAATAGAGATTATGAGCCAGGCCTTCACGTCCAACATCAGTGCCTGACCTCACAGATGCTCTTCTGGATGAATGGGCAAAAATCCCCACAGACACACTCCAAGATCTTGTGGAAAGCCTCCCCAGAAGAGCAGCATCTGTTATAAATGAAATGGGGGAACCAACTCCATATTGATGCATATGGATTTAGAATGGGATGCCATAAAAGTTCCTGTAGGTGTAATGACTAAGCATATCATATTATCATGCCTGAATGTTTATACATGTGCAGAGGAACAGAAACCAATGAAACTTTATTTTTAACTCTACATATTTTTGTATCAGGGTTTTTTTTTAAAAAGCCAGGTTTTCTTGTTCTTATGACTAACTCCAATAGTTTCAAACCACTCAACAGGCTCCTGAACCACCACTGAAGGTGTTTTTAAATGTTTACATACATTTATTTAGCATTTCTTAACACATAGATCTTTGCTGTAGCGCTGTGTATAATACATGTAAAATACAGAAATAAAAAATATGCTGTAAAAACGTGTCTGCAAATTTAACAGCAGAAAACTGAGAATAAACTCGAAGCTAATAAGAAGGTCTAAGAGCACAAACACAAGCAAAAGCTCGGGCATTAGTGTTACGATAACTAGCAGCACACTGGTATATACAAGGATTTAAAAAAAATAAAAAAGCAGCCCCCAGTCACGTGCTTCAGAACGAGAACTACCGCTCCGTGGCGGTGTCCCAGCGCAGTGACTGTTATCTGGGTCTGTCAGTGTATGGTCAGGCCGGTACGTATCGCCCAGCAGGGCGTATCTCCGCAATCCAGGTCCCTCTTCTGTGGGAGCGATAAAGAGTAGGGGCTGTCTCAGGGATTCCCAAGTAGCAGGGTCACCCCTATGACAGTGCTGCAGCGGCTGTATGTTTTCTTAGTGGCACAGTAGCAAGTGAATGGGAAATGTTTGTGGTTTTTTTGCATCTTCAACAAGTGCCAAGATGCACACTGCGACCCAGAGAATGTTTATCTCATCTATACCGCCAACACCTCAGAATGTAATTAGGGAAATTGCGGTCGGTCTTTGCTGTCCGGACAAAATACGGTATACGTACCTCGGATAACAACGTTATATAGTTCTGTGCCCTACAGGCGCCATTTAAAATTTTATTTACCATATTTGAAATAAATTATTTTAGGAAAAATTACATTTTCCCTCCTGTTTCAATGCAATAAAAGGTGGCGCCCTGCAGGTGGCGCACGGATGACAAATCACGGGACCCCGCGAGGCTCTGTCTGCCTCCAGTGTGTCATGGCAATAACTAATTTTGGTGTCTTCATTTAAGAAATAGTTTTACGAAGCATATAAGGAAGCTTATGCCAGCACGTAAAAAAAACACAAAAATTTGACCCATTTACTCTGTCACACAATTTCCCTCACGCTACGCTGGCAGGGCGCTGAGATATTTCATTTAATTACCGTCTGCTGATATCAATGGGTAAAAACACCGAACGTCTGAAGTCCAGGCAGGGCTCTGTTATACTGCCATATCCCGCACATGTTGGTTCCGTTATAGAAAGTCACGGTGCATTGCATTTTCTTTCATAAAATGATGGTACGAAATAATTTTTTCCTATAAAATGCAACAATGCACAAACGCAGTTGGCGTTGCTTGCGTCTATGGAACTTAAACGAATTGGACAAAAAGATGGTAACGTCCAGAAACAAGTCAAACTCTAAGATTCCAGGGAAAATAATGGACCTGGTCCTGCAGAGCACACCTTGGCATGAAGATTCAGCCCAACGACGCGCGCACCTTGCGGAACAGCACAACAACCTACCGGCGCCGGTTAATATTTAAGATGCCGAGGATTAACGCCACTTACGCTCTCTCACAAGCTTGACAAGCAGTCAACATGTCACGGTCCTGCCCCAATCCTGCATTATGGGTTTGGCTGCTATTCTCCAATTACCTTCACGTAAAGGCGGGGACACGTCCGCCTGGGTTTGCCCATGAGAAAGAGCAGGCAGCGCGATCTCCTCCTGCCGCTGACGTCTGGAGAGGAGGAGGCGGTGTGGGTGAGCCGATCGAGCCGAGGATCCTGAAAGCAGAAATTACGGGGTTCCATGGGGAGTCAAAGGCACAACTACGCGTTAAAAAAAAAGTCACAGGTAAAGTATCCCCACATGAACACCTTCTGATGCTTGTATTGGCAGCTAAACTGCGGTTTGATTATTATGTTGCCACTTTTAACTTTTAACAAAGTGACTCTTTGCTGTTCAAAGTATTTGCGCTTCAGTATGAGAGATTACAGCAGGAAGACCTGTGTGAAACACCCCGGGTTTCGGTGTGGAGTCTGTCAGCAATTGCATGGAAATCAGTCTCCTACTTCCCCCTTTTTTCAGGCTTGAGCTCGACTGGCCGTCCGCAGTACTTAATAGCTGATATTTGAGTAGAACAACTTGTGGCATTAAGAGAAGTTAAATTAGGAAGATAAAGGTGAGGAAGGTTCCAGTTGATTTAGTCACCGGCGTTACGAAATGGCTTCTCTGCCATAATCCGATCCTGGGTGGAAGGAAACGATACGTGTTCCCTCGCTTATAACAGGATGTTATGTCCAGGTCTTGGTACGACTTACTGTTATCAAAGGACCATTGACAGCTGGTCTGTCAAAGCAACCTTCTTACGTAATGGGCGCTATTTATAGTCGGAGCATGATTTTCCTCGCATTAAAAAGTGTAATTGGTGCTGACAGTGCGCTGTATGCGTGTAATTGTTCAGTTATATAAATACCTGCGATGCGCCAGTACTACGGCTGGGGTCTGTCTGTTTTCGACGGCATGCTGCAGATACGCGGGAGCTGCGGCGGCGGACCGCACCTCGCTTATCGCCGCACACTGACGCTGCACATGTGTGTGATCTCTTCGGGGATTAACGCTGCGTGTGCGTGCGTGTGCCTGCGGGTTCCGTGCACCCCCGTGAGCAAAGGGACCGAAACGCAGCAAGCAGGCTGCTGTCACCGGTTGTTCCCTTTCTATGATCTGTGCGGTGCATGATGCCATTAAATGTAACGCTTGGCCAAATTCACGTGATGCATCCGAAACTTGAAAGGAAGGACCTGTTTGCGGGGACCATTAGGCTACCTAGCAGAAAATTCGGTCCGTATACGGGGAAATCTGAAGCGGTTCTGGACGTAGTTGTAGCGCTGCGGATGTCTAACTGACCACTTGTTTCTGCCCCCCTCCTGTCCTCCAACATGCGCTGGGCCACGCCGCACTGCAATCTCTCGCGCCTACCGCTCCTTCTGCGTCTGGTGAGTGAACAAGTCCAATTACATTTTCCCTGTTTGTGGTGTTTTTTTCCCACCCGGAACACGGTACTTGTATTATAACAGAGATGCTTACTCCGCAGATGTGGTTCCGTATCTCCTGCTTTCAGTATGAAGTTAATCCTCAGCCTAGGCACACACTAATACCCCCCCCCCCCCCCCCCCCATGGTCGTGGATAAACTACTCAAATGTTTTACATTAAATGGGTTTGCCGTTCTCATATAAAATAAAAATGCGTGGAAGTTCAGTGACCCGTGTGTGGGTCCTGTATGGTTCTGCTTTTGGTCCCGCAGATGTAAGGTGCCTTTTAACACCATTTGGTCCGGTTGGTTTTTTTCCCAGATGAGTGATTTCTGGAAATGCCACATCCCCCCCCCCCCCACAGGTCATAGCACAGCTTTTCTTTTATTTTCTACCCTTTATCATCTTTTTTTCCTCACAAGCCTGAGAAAGTTTGATCTCTGTCAGGACACCGGAGGGCTAAAGAATCTCTCTTTCCCTGCTGTGTTGCTGGTGGGTTTAATGCAGTGTCATCAGTGTCACCCTAAAGACGAGGAGAGTCGTCCAAAATAATGTGCTTATATGATGCAGCTTGAAACGCTTTCAGGACACATTTAAACAGAACTGAGTGTTACCTTCACTTTTCTGGTCAGTCTGGAAAATACAGTGCTCTGTGTTTACTGTCCACATCTCAGAGTGGAAATTACCTTCATGGCTCCAATTTTGGGGAAAAACTCGGCTGGGTGGTTTCGGATGGCACCCCAGGGGGTGTTCCTGTCCCGTCCTGGCTGAGGCCCTTCCAGCGCCCCCTCTCCCCCCACTCCGTCGCTCCTTCTCTGATGTGCGGTCACCGTGTGCCAGGGACCCTCCTCTGCCGTTTCCCTGAGCCCAGATTATCCAGCAGATCGAAAGGAAGCCGCTGACAGCTGACGGCCCTGCAGGCGTGTTGCCTTTCTGTCGCATTCCGGAATGTTCTTGTGCTGGGAGCACATGGAAAGGGGGCCACTGTGCTGCCGTAGGGGCCAGCAGATTTTAGGACAAATGTGGAGTCGGTGTGTTAATATTGTCAGCATGTCAAAGCCTCTGTACTGTTCCTGTCACTATAATGCTCCCTTCTTTATATTACACTATCGACCTACACAGTACTAAAGTGACTTATGGACATTAGACACTGGCCCTATAGCTGAACCATGTGCGTGTGTGTGTGTGTGCGTGTGTGTGTGTGCGTGTGCGTGTGTGTGTGTGTGTGTGTGTGTGCACACCTGCTCGTTTTTGTGATTATTGCGTTGTGGGCACCAGATTTCCCCACAGTGTGATTGTAACCTGTAACCTTTTACTTTGTGGGGACATTTTTTGGTCCTCTCAATGATGACCTCAGTTTTATTATAATCTGTAAATGCAATATAAAAAAAACTAAGAATGCCAAAAATCTTTGATAACTTATGGTTAAGGTTAGGGGTTAAGGTCGTCATAGTTGGGATTAGGATTATAGGATCATTGAAATGAAAGGAGAGTCCCCATAAAGATATGAATATGTGGGCTGTGTGTGTGTCTCTGTATGTGTGTGTATGTCTCTCTCTCTCTCTCTCTCTCTCTGTGTCTCTGTGTGTGTGTGTGGATGGATGAGTGAGCACCTCTTTCTCACACGTGAAGAAACTGAAAACTCCAAAGACCTAAAACTACAGCTCAGGTAATCAGGTTACTTGACTAAACAAATAAGAAGTAGAGACTCGACTGCCTCCCAGTCTCCTGAGCACTGAGCTCTCAGCCCAGACTGGATCCAGGTTGGGTGGAATCTGCTTTTGCAGCTGACCTGCTTTTTTTTACCTGCCAAACAATTAAAAAAAAAAATCCTCTGTTTCGTTCCGGGCAGCATGAGACGATGTGATAGGTTCAGTCCCCCTGCATTTCCATAACCCCCACTCATGCCCCCGAAACCCACCAGGTGTGAGCATTCATCCCTCTTTGGGTTTGCAGTCCATTTTCTCTGCTCGTTGATGACATCACACACATACCCCAGTTTCTCAGAAGCTGCTGTGGTGGCATGAGGAGACCACCCCCCCCCCTTCTGTCCAATCGCAGATGAATGGGGTGACACACTGACATGTTCACTTGGGTAAAACACTTATTGTATTCCCACTCATGAAGCTGTATTGGTCTTTACTATTAACGAAAAAATTAAGAGACCAGAGCAAAATTTTTTGGTTCACTTATTTCTCAATCTATGGGTGTGCGTCTGTGAGTAATATATTATATATATTTAGCAAACTGCAGCCAGGTTCTTCTCTTTTTCTCATTAATGAAGGGCTTTAAAGTTTTTAAAGTTCCAGGATAAAAGTTTCTAAGTCACAAGAACAGAGTGAAGCAGGAAATACTGGGAACAATCAGAAACCAGTCAGGTAGAGGGTGGGAGTGACTTTCTAATGCCAGAGATGACCGTCAATTTATGACAGTTGCACATGAGTTGTAGGATGACATCATGTGACCTTCAAAAGGAACGGGACACATTAAGTGGAGGTGTGAAGTGCACTGTTAGGACAGGATCGTATCAGGCTCCTAGAAGCAGGACTGAAGTCCCATAAAGCGAGGAAGAAGGACTTCATCAATGAGAAGCACAGATGCACACCCATAAATTGAGAAATGAGTGAAACAAATTGCGCTGTGGTCTCTCCATTTTTTCTGGAGCGGTATATGTACACAGGTTCACTTACAATGGAGGCCTGATCATATGCACTTACAGATATGCTTGACTCTTAATTATAAGGCCCAGATTACCTTGTATAAATCAGTGTTTGATATGGATAATCCTTTGATTTAGAATCCAGCCTCCAGCGGTAGAGGAGCAGTAGACTTGTCCATATGCTTTATAATGTTGTAGTGTACGACTGGCTTCTTTTAAAATGAGAACTGTTTATGTAATGAAATTTAATTCTTGGTGATTTGTTAAGTAACATGCATATTAAACAGAAGCTTACCTAACCATAGTCCCATGTCTCTGTAAGAGGGCACATTCTTTCGAGATCGGGCGCTAATGTTCAGGCCCTCAGTGGACCTATAGGGGCTGGTTCCTCGGGGGTCACACCAGTGACTGGGCTGTCAGCCTGCTAGCAGTTTAATGGCTGCTATCTCTTTTAAACACCTTCTCGCCCGGCGCTCATCAGTGCAGCACAACCGGGTGGGACGTGCAGGGTAGGCTTCCCTCCCACCCCCCTGATTTCCCTCCCTTTCTTCCCCTTCAGCTTTTGGCTTCCAGAAGGGCGCTCTTGTGAAATAATCTGCTGTACGTTTACAGAACTTGTGCAGTAGCAGTACTTGGTATGGTCACTAGGGGGGAGCAGAGACTCGGTACGGAAATAGGCAAACAGGTGGCCTGTTTACCTAACCTATGATTGTCCATCCATCCATCCATTGTCCAACCCACTTATCCTACTGGGTCGCGGGGGGTCCGGAGCCTATCCCGGAAGCAATGGGCACGAGGCAGGGAACAACCCTGAATGGGAGGCCAGCCCATCGCAGGGCACACTCACACACCATTCACTCACACATGCACACCTAAGGGCAATTTAGCAACTCCAATTAGAACCTATGATTGTACCCGGTTTAATCATATAAATATATATGAGTGACGTTGGGCGGGATGGTGGCTCAGTAGTTAGCGCTGTCCCCTCATACACCCAGCATTGGGGTCAAATCCCATCCCCGAGTCTGCATGTAATTGTACAGGTTGCCCCCTTGCTCCTCCAACGCATGCAGTTGGGGGTCCATGTTGTATGATCGTGTTTGTGCCCTGCGGTGGACTGGCATCCCTTCCAGGGTGGAGCACAGGCTGGTATCAGTGGTGTCTGGGTTTGGCTCAAGGCCTCGACCAGGGCTTGATAAGCAGTTAGAAGATGGATGAATGCTGTAGTATTTGGCTACTATGCAGTGAAACAAATGGAAGGTAGTTGCTGATCCAGCATCGTGACATGAGTTATCGTCTCTGTTAATATTTATAAATGGTGCCTTCCAGTCTGTACTCGAGACAGGGACTGCAGTGACTTTGTGCGTGCATGCAGGGCATGGGAAGGGCGAAGGCATCAGTGATTACAGCCTGGATAGCTATGCCGGATCCTAATTACAGATTTGTGCAGTTTGCATTGAGAGGCAGGTCATGTGACTGGAGTCTGCAGCCTACATTCTTGCTTTTTTTTCTGTTGTCTGTATCCATGGCCAGCCTCTCCTCCAGTGCCAGCCCGCTAGCTGACAATTTGCACTGTAATGGGACTCAGACACTGCCTCCACTGGATCATGTCTGGAGGGTTTTTATGGGGTATAGGCAGGTGCACCCAATCTCCTTTTTCGCAGTGTATCTGCACCCCTTTCCTCTTCCCATTCTGCAGGCGGCATTTGAACGTCTGTTCCCAGTTTATTTTTCAGTCGGCTCTCTCCACTTTAAGCTCCAGTTTGACTTCCTACTAATTTCCCCTCTCTGCCTTTCCTTTGCTCCCTCTTTCTCTATCCCTTTTTTTTCTTTCTTCGTCTCCTTTGCTCTCTTCACGTCGTACACTCGTGCTGGAGAGATCGACTGGGTACTGTGGGCGTTAGTGCAGATGGCAGCACCAGACATGAACAAGCACTGTATACATTAACTGCTCGGAGGTGTGGGACAAACAGACGTGGGGGGGGTGTGCGGGCTGCGCCGAGGTGTAGCACAAACAAACCAAAGGAGTGTGCCTTAATCATTCTGGTGAGGATGGTGGGGGACATCCAAACCATGACACCGTGCCTGTCATTGGAAGGTTGCTGGTTTAAATCCCAGTGTTGCCAGGGTGATTTCATCAACGGCCTACTGAGCAAGGCCTTTAACCCCAGACGTACATTGCTGTGGATAAACATGTCTGTAAAATTTTGTTTGTTTTTTTTTGTCTACTGTCTGCTTTTTACACACGTCCCCTGTTCACAGTGTGGAGCAATAGCACATTTCACTGCACACTGTACTGAGTGT